GATAGTTTGTGTTTCTCTGCTCCATAGTAGTAGTGTCGATTTTAATCACTAAAAATTATAAACCATCACATTACAGAGTTGAATTCCAAACGCTAAAATTGGTTAACCCTTTACTTTCCAGATCCTTTAAAATCTAGCAAGAGGTTTTTAAGATTTTGTAAAATTGAGGAAGATGGAATCCAGCTACTCTTCCTTGGCCTTGGTGCTTGTTGAAAGTTTGAGCACAAAGGTGCAGTGGGTTTCCTACACTGTAAAGGATTTTATAGGGTTAAGGAAGGTTTCGAGGAAAAATTCTTAAGGACCTAGGGTTAATGTTGATGTATGTTTTTTATTCTCTGCCTGCGCAAGCTTCCTTTGCCATTGAGACACAAGGAACCCAGCTTTTGCACTGCCATCTGGCAATTGGGATAACACCAAGTGTCATTTTTACTCTTATTTTGTGTGGATTTCTAGGACAGAGTACATCATCACGGCAAGCTGCGATGGTCATGTGAAGTTCTGGAAAAAACAAGATCTTGGCATCGAGTTTGTCAAACATTTCAGAGCACATCTCGGTATGAACACAACACCTGACCAGTATAGTAATCTAACTAACTTCAAAGGATCCATAACTTCACTGTCAAAGCATCATTAGTGTGCTCTAACTATGTCCTCCTATTTTGCTGTTACTGTTGACACCTGTAAATGATCTCTCTTTCCCTGTTCAAAAAAATCCTCACACTTTCCACTAAATCAAAACCACTGTTGTTAATTGTTTATCTCTGTTGTTAATTGTTTATTTGTGCATCTTCTTGTATGGCCTCAGGACGAATAGGGAGCATATCAGTCAGTGTGGATGGCACGTTACTCTGTACTGTAGCTGATGACAAATCTATGAAAATATTTGATGTCGTAAATTTTGGTGAGTATACCCCATGACCCCAAGCCATTGGAATGCAATCTTTGATTAATTTTTCACTGGATTCAGGACTGCTCAGTGAAGCTTCTATTATTTTACAAAGGATCGGTGCCCTTTCTCATTTCCGTACGAAACAATGTGCTGGTGGTTTAGTACACAGAGCCTGATTTTGTCAGATTCTGGTAACCTCATTCCTCGTAAAGTCCAAGAGATCGAGGGTTAAACATTGTTTCCTGATTTGATTTTTTGTTTGTGTTTCCACTGTCCGATTTTCTGGTTCCCCAAGGTTCTTCCGGCTACCTTATGTCTGATATTTTGTCCCAGCAATGCTTTTTTCTTCCCTCTTGCTAGATATGATCAACATGATGAAGATTGATTACGTGCCCGGATGTTGCGAGTGGATTTTTCGGTCTGGTGATGCTATTCCTGCATTGGCATGGTAGGTGGTGATAAGCATGGTAGGTGGTGATAGGCATGAGTCCTATCATGACTGCACGTGTACCATAAATTGCATTGAATTAAACCCCATGTAAGACCACACTGTGCTTGCTTTATTGTACTCGCTGTGAAAGCAAATGTGCACTAGATTATTTTATAAATTTGAGGTCCAATAGTGTGACATTTTGGGGTCCAATAGTGTGACAGTTTGGGGTCCAATAGTGTGACAGTTTGGGGTCCAATAGTGTTAAATTTTGGGGTCCAATAGTGTGACAGTTTGGGGTCCAATAGTGTGACAGTTTGGGGTCCAATAGTGTGACAGTTTGGGGTCCAATAGTGTTAAATTTTGGCGTCCAATAGTGTGACAGTTTGGGGTCCAATAGTGTGACAGTTTGGGGTCCAATAGTGTGACATTTTGGGGTCCAATAGTGTGACAGTTTGGGGTCCAATAGTGTGACATTTTTGGGTCCAGTAGTGTGACATTTTTGGAGTCCCTGTGACACCTAAGCTGTGGAAGTTGACATGGAAATAATCACTGACTTTAAGCAGCATTTATTTGTTTGGCAGGTATGCTATGCCACTTAATCACTCTGTGTTTCAAACTTGTAAAGTTTTTTGTCATATGTGACAGGAGCATGGAAAAAGTTGGACTTCAAATTTATAAAATAGCCCTACTTCAAAATCTCATATGTGACCGGCTCTGCAAAAAGGTTTATTATGTCACATTTGTTGGAATTTTAGTTATATACATGTATATAATGAAATTGCTCACATCCTAAGCTTTCATTTTGTAATTCATCCCAGTGGCATTTTGCATTTTGGAGTTATATGCCATTTGCATGTTCGTATAATTTCATTTATCACGTGTGCTTTTGATATATGCCCTTTAAACATAACGAACAGAAACATTAAACATAAATTAGACACTCTCTTGGTTTCCTTAGCAACAGAGCTTTTCTGGTCAAGAAATTTGCCTCAAAATATTTCCAAAATATTTTCACCCTCGGCACGTGGAATGGGCCATCACGCATTTTTGCATTGTGCGACTTAAAACACCTTTTTGCAGACCCAGTCACATACATATATCAGCTTAGTGCCAAGGACCACAGTACTACGTTACATCTCAAGTTGAGGAAGGCACTATTTGAGATGGCTACATTCATTGTGAGACAGTGTGAGGTCATAATGACTGACAGAGGTTTTCGATTCTGTGCAGTTCACCTCAGCTTTGTTACAGTGCCGTCAGGGAATATGGTAGAAGAGAATAGATTGGACAAAACAGACCTCTGATCCGTTTAGTGGCTAAGCTCAATGAACTTTTTGTGCATCTAGCTACTTGTGTTATTTTACGTATTTTTGGTACTTCTAGTTCGGACAAAGCGTCAGGTAACATTCACATCTACGACGGCCGGTCAAGCAGTGTGGCTGTCCACACCCTCAGCTCGTTGCATAGTTGTCCTGTCATCGGAATGAAGGTACAGAGTTGCACACAGGAGATACATGCAGGTCAATGGCATCAAGAGCGCCCTCTCTTGATTTCAGTCTAGAGAGTGGCAGGCGGGATTGCTGACGGTTCCATTGTCTAATTATCTAGCCTTTAAACTCTGAAATCCAGGGGAAAGCGTAGACTTGGGCCCATTTTTCCAATTTCTAGTCTGCTCTTTTACCCGGAGCTTGGAAAGAGAGACTTGTCAGTAACATTTTTTAGCAGACAAATATGGTTTACAATCTTCTTGAAAACACACATAGGTTTAGTATATACTCATTGTTTTCCTGTTTTTCTGTCCACAGTATAACCCTATCTTTGAAGTGGTGCTGTCGGTAGACAAACAGGGCCTCGTCGAGTACTGGACAGGCCCTAAGAAAGACTTCAAATTCCCGACACAAGTTGCCTTCCAGTATAAGACGGACACAGATCTCTATGAGTTCGTCAAGGTAGGATTGTACAGTTTCTTTCAGTGGGGTGGTTTGCTAAAGGAAGTGTGTTTAAGAGAAAAATATATCATGGTTACTTTGGCACATTTATGAGAACAAGAGGTAAGGAGTTGATAAAGGTGCCTATCTTATTAACCAGCATTCCTAAAAGTGTAATTGTTCACCAAGTGGATTTTTTTGTTTTACCAGTGCAAGACGTTGCCAATGGGACTCACATTTTCACCCAATGGAAAGCTATTTGCTACTCTTGCCAAAGACAGAAAGGTAAGTCTGTAAAAATACGCTGGATTATTCATAATCCCTGCATGCGGCATAAAATAGTTTGTGTTCATTATTTTGTATACGTTTCAGGAAGAACAGAACTGAAAACTTAATGTTGGATGTTTTCCAGTTCAGGTTGTCAGCATCCTTTTTAATCATGCTTGCTTGCTTCATGTCTGAAATCTGGATGATTTTATTGAGGATTACTTGATTTATGGTAGGTTCGGGTTTTCAAGTTTTTGACGGGCAAGCTGATGCGGGTCTTTGACGAGTCCCTGCAGACATTCAGCGAACTGCAGCAGATGCGACAACAGCTGCCTGACATGGAGTTTGGACGTCGCATGGCTGCCGAGAGGGACTTGCAGAAATCAGATGCCTTCTCCTTGGCAAACATCGGTAAGCACCAGAGTTGAAACTGGCCTGAAGTAATGGTGTTAGAAGAAATAGGTGAAAACTGCGGCAGTGAGCGTGGTACTGCTGTATTCATATCTAGTTCGGTACATTTGTGCATAGCTAATCAGAATTAATGCTCAAAGTATTGTTTGACGGATGAGTGTCATTGCTTTGCTTGCCTTGTATTTGTGCAGTTTTTGATGAGACAGGCAACTTTGTTCTGTATGCTACCATGCTTGGTATTAAGACCCTCAACCTCTACAGCAACAAATGCCCCAGGATGCTGGGCAAGGTGAGTTCTTTTATAGTATTCTCAGCTTTGGTTTCCATAGAATACCGTGTGGAATATTCCTGGGGAATCTTAACAATGCAGATATAGCCTCACAGGTGCAACATTAATGGACACAGTATTTCTCTAACTTTAAGCATTAACCTGTTTTCATGCATCACATTTTAAGTCGTGATAGCAAGTGCCACATGATTGGTACACATTGCACAGAATCAGTTTTCCACTGAATGTGCACAAGTTCACAGTAAACATTGTACAGCCTTCAACAAAGGTTGTTCAAGTGATGATACACCACCTATGAGTAATTGTTGTAGTTTAGACCACTGGAGGTCACCCTTTTGTGCTAAAAATAGTTAGAGCTTGAATTTATCCCATTATTTTGAAAAACTGAGAATTTGACTCTTTCAGTAAGGATTCTTGTGCAAGTTTGAGCGCTTGTTTCCTTGTCTATCTGTGTTTTCTCCCCAACCTTACAGCCAGAGAACATCCGCTTCTTACAGCTTGCCCTCCACCAAGGCGTTAGTAAACCCAGCAAGGCTGCCCTCTCAGTGGAGATGCAGGCCTCGGACAACCCCACCCTCGTCAATGTGACCTCTGACCCCACGCTGGTCTGCACCGCCTTCAAGAAGAACCGCTTCTATCTGTTTTCTGTCCGGGAACCAGAGGATGCCAAAAGGTTGGTCTCAGCCTTCTTGTAGATCTCCATAAATGATATTGAAGAATAACTTTTCACGCTTTTGTTTACCACTTTTTCTGCTGTACAACCTGCAGTGCAAAGTTATTTTCAAAATATCCAAAAACAAGAATATGAAATGACAAGGCTTTATTGTTAAATGATGTTTAGCGCTGAGGCCGAACGTGACGTTTTCAATGAGAAGCCTTCAAAAGAAGAACAAATGGCAGCAACACAGGTTAGTAGTGGTCCTTGTCATCTGTGAGAGATAGTGTGCTGGTGTCTCATCCAAAATTAATGGAGTGCACATACATTTTGGAACTTCTGAAGTGTGTCCTTGTCTAGAGTTCTCAGACCGGTGTTGTTGGAACCCAACCCTGGTTGACGATCCAGATCTATAACAACTTCTGAAAGCTTGTGTGTGAATGATAGATGTTTTAATTGACCATTGTAACATATCTTGAACCATTTCAACCCCTGAAATGATTTTAATGCACTCAAAATTGCAGCTATTTGGATTTTGATTGAAGTCAAGTTGTCCTTTGTTCTGTCTTCTTTGGGAAGTTGTAGCCATGGCAATTTGTGTCTCAGTGCTCTTGGTAATTCTGTTGTATTGACCCATACACACCGGTGACAGTGTTGTCCTTTGACCTTTCAATTCTGTCAATACAGGGTACAACATCCCAGAGGTTATCGAGTCAAGCCTGCATACACACGTCGATGGGAGATATCACGATTCAACTCTTCTCCAAAGAGTAATTACTAATGGCGTATGATACCCTGACTTAGTTAATTATTATGAGTTAATATCAAAGTGAAGTTACGTTAAAGCTAGTGTAAGCTTCAATCTGCCCGTAAGTAAATTCGAAATAAATGTTTTGAATGTGCTTGTTGAACAATGAATGTGAAATCAGATATTTCACTGTTGAAAAAGGCTTTTTTTTTAAAGGTCTGTTCCTCAGTAGCATTGATAACAAAGCCAAATTATAGATATTATACCAGTGGAAAGTATGAAATTAACGGCAAGTAAATTTGATTTGGAATTCAGCAATCTTCTATTCTGTATAAATCAGTGTAGAGGCTTAGGCTGGTAGCCATCTTGGAGGGCAGTTCTTTTGTTCCAGATGGAAACCTTTCTATGCATTCCCTATGGGACAAAAGCAATGACCTGCAAGATGGCCGCCATGCAAACCTCTCAATGTTTGAATTTTTCTCAGATGTCCAAAGACAGTGGAGAACTTCTGCGTGCACAGCAGGAACGGTTACTACAACGGACACACCTTCCATCGTGTCATCAAAGGCTTTATGATTCAAACCGGCGACCCGCTAGGTAAGTGACGTGGCATCAGAGAATGAGTCATGTTAATCCAACTCTGGTCAATGAACCCTGTCACTGAGCAACAAAGGGACTTGCGTTGCCGCTGAGAACTTTCATTTGGCTAGTCCTTGTGTGCTGTTCGGGTGTTTACACTTTGAAACCTATGCATGGGTACCAGGGAAGCAAAGGCTTTTCCCAAACTGCAACTTTGTCTTCATCTTTTCCTCCATCATTTTGTCTTTTACACTTCAGGGAACGGCACAGGTGGTGAGTCTATCTGGGGTGGTGAGTTTGCTGATGAATTTCACCCTACATTACGACACAATGAACCTTACACACTCAGCATGGCCAACGCAGGACCCAACACTAACGGATCACAGTTCTTCATTACGGTCGTACCTTGTGTAAGTCCACTCACCTCTTCACCCATGCTTCTAGTCGGTGTGTATTCTTCATCAAGATGCATTGTTTGAAGCTACAGACTTGAACAAAATATTTGATTTATGATAATGATTTTGATGTTTAAGTTACATTTTCCTCTTTTGATTTCTCCAGCCTTGGTTGGACAATAAGCACACCGTGTTTGGCCGTGTCACCAGGGGTATGGACGTAACGCAGAAGATCAGCGAAGTCAAGACCTATTCCAAGACGGACAAGCCCCTTGATGAGATCAAGATAATCAGCATCAGCGTCAAGTAGCTTTCGCTGGAGTAGACTCTGCCCCGAGAGAACTTGCTCTGAGGAAGCCCCTTTGAAGTTCGCTGTAAAGCAGTGGGTCTTGAGTTCTACCAGCCTTCCTTAACATATCTTGCTTAGTTTTGTTGAAACTTTGAGAGGAAGTTGTGAGAAATTGACTGGAGCTGAGGTACTTTGTGTTGGCCGTTTTGCCAAAAGCGAGGCTAGATTGGAATTTATGGACTCCAATGTTTTCAGTTTCACTTTGCAAATGGATGAAGTAGAGCTTTTTTTGGCCTTCCAAATGGAAATGCTCAAATAAAAATACTAGTCTTTCCACTTCTTGTTACATATCAGTGCTCAGTCCTGGTGAAAATGTCCTTTGTTATAAAAAATCCTACCTCTTTTGGGGTTGGTCAGTAATTTTGATTGGGCCACTTTTCTCTGTGAGGAACAACATGCCAATCACTGTCAGAGCAGGATGTTTGTGCGGCATTTACCAGTAGCTAACATTCACTAAATCAACGGCAAGCTGATTCTGTGACGCAATGAATATGTATGAGGTCAGAATCTGATGCTGGGATTGGATGAAAGTTCTGGACTCATGCACGCAGGTTCGCTCATCGCCTGCGCCCGAACAAGGTACTGAGAAGGGCAGATGGCCTGACACTTTGCCCGTGCCAAAGCATTGCCATTGACGAACCCAAAAAATTAATTCATGCTTCGCTAACAGGAAGTGATAAACTCGTGGTCGCAGGTCGTGCACAATGTAGCCAATCACACTGCAAAGCAATCAGCCCTTCACAGTGCCTATTCGGGTGCTGGGCGACGAGCGAACCACACAGGTTCGCAGTACTGGCTGCAGTCACTGTTTATCAGGTCATTTGTGCCTGCCCATTCAGCGCAAGATTCTGTTCATGATTTGGATCTATCTGGCCCATCCATCACGGTCATTTCAATCCAGCAAATTCGTGGCCCAGAATGGGATACATAAATCTGTTTTGAAATATTCAAAAACTTGACATCGAGTAAATGCATTGAAAATAATCATGTTCATCTCATACACATCAACTTGTTATTAGAAAATAATAATAATTAGAAATCAAATGAATAAGTGAATGGTTCTCATAATCTATGACTTTGATTGTATACTTTTGGATATTGTTAATAAAAAATGTGTTTTAAGACACAAAGTTCTTTATCACAAGAGTAAATTTGACCCCCAAAGTCACCTCTAATATTAACACTACGCCAGTCTAATCGTTGCTACTAATCATGTCAATAGAGGGCGCAAAACAGTTGGGGACTGGGTTCGCGTCGCGTTGGCTGCGAGAAGTGGGGAAATATCACCAATAAAAATAGGTTATTGTGCTCAAGTTTCCCACGATGGATAATCAGCCAATCGCCCCAGACGGTGAGTTATGCTTTGTGAAAATTACTGATCGATTTTACTGGCAACAAGCAACGTAAATTCAGCCTAATTACCGAATTGTTAACGCGCGTTGTACCAATTTGGCGCACCCGTCACGCCAGCCATGTCAGCATGGTCAGCCCGTTCGCGCATTTTCTCAAGAAGTGACTAGTGTTGATGGTTGTCTTCGCTTGTATTTTAAAGTGTTTGTTACAGTCATTTAAGACATAATCTGAAATACAAAATCATGTAAAAAATTTATGTATAAACTTTAAGTCCGAATCCATTTGCGCGGAAATTCAAAGCGTACTGTCCGGAAACTGGGCACAAGATTGTAAATTGAAGGTCTCCTTTTCCAAATAGGCCCTAGGCCTGTATTTCTTTGAATGCATTTTGTATTTTTCAGCACTTTACTTTCTTGACTCTGATTTATTTCAACTGGCTAATTGACTACTTGGATTAGCCTAGTTATGATTTTTTTCTTCAATTATTTTTGGGTGAAAATTCAGATCCTGAACTGAAGAACATCATTGACAAGCTGGCCAACTTTGTGGCTAGGAATGGACCAGAGTTTGAAAAGATGACGAAACACAAGCAGATGAACAACCCTAAATTCAACTTCCTGTATGGAGGAGAGCACTTCAACTACTACCAGTGTAAAGTTGCAACTGAGCAACAAAGTGAGTTTCATATATTTCAGTGCTTGCCAACTTTACTCGAACCCATCCTTGAATATCAACCTCCTGTTCTTGTCTGAGTTTGTCAGATTAGGTCTGCATAGCTAGGCTTCCATTAAGATACGTTGGTCTTGATGTTTTAGTTCTGGATATGATATTTGATGTCTGTGTCATGTTCCATTTTGATGGATGTTGGGTGGTTCTTAGTGAATACTTCAAGAAAGAATCACTTCAAATGCAAAACACTGCAAAATTCCATTTTTTGTCTACCTTGCTAAAGTTTGTTGAAAGCACATCTGTCAGAGTCACTCTATAACCATATTTTATTTGATCATTTCAGTCATGCGACAACGTAAAGAAAAGCTAGCTCAGCAACAGGCTATAATTCAGGATGTCATCACCCAGCAGTCTATCCAGTCTGCGCCCTGGCAGCAGCAGCAACAACACCCCCTGCCGATGCCGCCGCAGATGCCAACACCGCAGATGCAACAGCCACCCCCGCAGATGGCCCCGCCTCCCTGGCAGCAGCCGCAGCCCCAGCCACACCCACAGCCCCAACCTCCCCCGCCCATGCCGCACCCAGCCCAGCCGCTGGCCCCACCACACCACCCAGCTTTACAGCAGCAACAGCAGCAGCAACAACAACAACTGCAGTTTCAGCAGCAGCACATGCAACAGCAGCTGCAAGCCGAGAAGGAGAAGCAAGACCAGCTACTGAAGGAACAGCAGGAGAAAGAACAACTGGAACAAGAACAGCAGCAGATCCTGGGGGAGCGAGAGCAGTTACAGGCACAGATCAAAGAGAGCGAGGAGAACTTACAGAAGCAACATGAAGTTTTTCTTCTCCAGCAGCAGGCAAGAGCAACTTACCATGTTAGGAACTTTGAAGCAGAAAAACCTGTGTAGCAGAATTCCCTTCTTTTCAAATCATTGGAGGAAACCAGTCACAGGCACTTAATCTCATGCGATACTCTCTGGTAACCAGTTTTTACCAACCAGAAATTTCATTGGGAAAGAGCGCCATACTCAGCCACCACCTGAGACCTTGTGCACAAAGTCTATGGGTTATGACAGAAAAAATGTAATCAAACAAAACTTGCAGTTTTGTCTCTCCTAAATTAGTGTTTCTTCGCCAGATTGGCACATTCTGGTAGTTTTCAAGTCATTAAGGAAGATAGATGGTGTTTGATTTGTTCCCTTTTGAATTGAAAATTCCTGAGTATGATAGTGCCTTTTTCGTAGAAAGAAATCATATTTACATCGCAATTTTTCTAATTTTGTTGTTTCTCTTACACACTGAAGTTCCAACCGGCGATTTTCAAGTCTTGAGAGTCTCTATTGCATGGTAACTCATATTTCTTTTGATTTTTTTCTCAATTGACAGGAGCAGATTGAGTTGGGCATCGTGTCCGCTCAAAATCAAGAGATCCAAAATTTAGCGAAGGAGCTGGAAGTGGATATCGGAGATTTTGACACCAGGCTTCAGACCATCATTGATTCCTGCACCAAAGATGCAATATCGGTAACGACTGATGGGTTACATAAGCCAGATTTTAACCCAAACCTAATAGGAGAACAGAATACACTCCCAGTTTTGTTACCAGGTGAAAAAGAGCCATTCCAAATCTCTGTGAAATGTTGAAGTTGACTTTTTTCATCCACAGAACGGAAAGCTCTGGATATTTTCCTGGGCCAAGTCTGACAAGCACTGCCTACTGATAGCTCATTATCTCCTGCATAAGATTATACCCCTTGGAACTCCCTTTGAGGCCAAGCTACATCTGATCTATCTCATCAACGATGTCACTCATCACTGGTAAGTCCACCCAAACAAGCACGTATGTTAGGTCCTTTCTAACTCGGGTTGTAAGAAAGTGTAGTTCCAGTCTTAAGGAAATGTCTCCAAAGTCAGGAACGATTGTGCTCTGTTGGATGGTTCCCTCTGGAACACTAGCTTTCCATCAGAATGTTCCTGCATCGTGGAAATGGTCCATTTTGTAAGGAGACCACTCCGAGGCACTGTTCCATTGTTCCCAGTTGCAGGTCACCAACACTGGAATAAAAACAAGGTGTTTTAAATTAAACATTCTGAAAAAAACGCTCCCTAAGGATGGTATATTGGACAATCTTTTCATTACTAGGTCCTGTGGTACTCTGAGTGGAAGTCTTAATCACTGAGCACCGGTACCAGAAACGTTGGCCGTATATGCATATGGCCGGGGTGCCCGAAATCATTCAAAAGGAAATGGGCTTTGTAACAAACAACCGAGCTCGGAACAAAAGATCGAGCTGCCATGTTATTCACTGCCCTACCTGATTTGATGCGCAGGTTGTTTCTCAGTTCATAACAGTTGATGTTTTGTTTAAAATTATTTCCTAGTATGCGGCGCGGTGCCGGGAATCTCCAGCAAGCGTTAGGCCAAGTGGTCGGGCCCATCTTCTGCTCGACGTACCTCAGCGCCGACGAGGAAAAGAAAAAGAAACTGGAGAAGGTAGTCACGTTTGGAAGGGAAAAAGTATTGAATTGCAGACTGTAAGGGTGTGATTTAATGTATCCACATGAATCTGGATGATGACTGTACGATCAAGACCAGTTCTGTTATGGCAGAAATGTCATTGCAGTTGATATTGCTTTCATTCTTTCTCTTGACAGCAGTCAGTGATGTTTCCCCAATCACTAAAGACTCTCTGAGAGGGCAGTAATTGTTAACCACATTTGCATTCTTGGATGCACGGTGCTTTCTCAGTTTTGCAAAATATTCTGTTTCTTCAATAGTTCTGGACTTGTTAATTTTCAAATTTTATGTCGTAAGCATGTTAGTCAAAATGACAGTAAGGGAAAAAGTTGCGAAACCTCGGTCAGAAAAGTGGCATTGTTTAGACCAATGACCCATTGCACAACCCTCTTGAGTTGCTCATTTTGAGTGTTTCCAGAAATACTCATCAGAATTTCCTGAGTAGCTCTTGGCCCTATCTAACAATCTGTGATTTTCACTTCTTGCGCCCACAATTTTTGTAATGAACATTTCTCATTTGTTTTGGACTGGCTCCACTGACCTCTTGTGTCATGGCTATATTTTTGGACAGGTTCTCAAACTGTGGGAAACGAACAAGTACTTTGGTGATGATGTCATGATAGCATTGAAGAACCCGGAGAGCTCCATGTCAGCTTTTAAGGTAAACATTTGTCAGCATTTCTGAAAAATCTTTCCATAGCAAACACAGAACTTGCATGAATAGTTTGAGTGTGACTAGGGGGCGGCATAATTTTGTCATTATTTTCAGTTATGACAACCATTGCTAAAATAATTGGCTGTCAAGATGTGACATCATTACTACCTATGATCAAAGTCCATCTCGGGCTTCCTTTGGAGAAGTTTTCAAACTCACTGACCAACTCTGGCCATGCAGGTGTCCATCCATTTATGGAAGGAAAGAAGTAACGGTACCTCGGGCTGGACTCAGATCCACAATATGCAGAATTACCTTCAAGATGTTGAGTTTGAGGACCAGAGACCACAATTCAACGGCATTACTCCCCTTGTGACTTCATTATTCAGCGCCATTACAATTCAAGAGAAATCACGCCAATGTTTGCGTCTCTTCCATATCCCTGCCATCACACATCTTTTGCCTTCTCCATTTCAGGCCGGTCAGCTAGAGCAATTTTCGGAGGTGGTATCTCATGTCCGAGAGGGCATCGCTGAACAGCTGTCCAGACTGCAGAAGCAACATGACGAGTTTGTGGATCATGTCAACTCGATGATTCAAGGCCTGGATGCACGTCTCGATAAGTTGACCGGCAACGACCAGAGCACAGTTGAAGCCAGACAGGTAAACAGAAATGTCAGCCAAAGAGGATCAATGAATCCCTTATATCTAAGATGGATTGTCGCTCTGTCTTTAGAATTGCAGTATTGCTTGTGTTTGAAAAGATGTGGACAGAGTGCTTACATATTTTAAGATGGGGGTAATTTTCTTCCCAGAATTTTTTCTCCGATATAGAGGGCTAACGGAAAAAAAATCCACAGTTTTCTCTTATACCTTGAAATCCCAGAAAATGTCTTTGAAGTAATTTATCAGAAAAATATCAAATGGATTTTTTTTCCTATCCTATGAGCCATACTCCGACCTCCTGGAGTGCCCAGCCTCCAGCAGAAGTCGTTTATATTTGGAACTCCGCAATAGCTAAGGAATTTTCAATGAGAATCCCTGAAAGCCTTGGAAAAGGCCTTAATTTTTTTAGGTGAAATCGTTGTGAGGTTTGAGATAGCAGGAAATGTTTGCATCGGAATGAACTCTCTAACATTTGACATATTGACTGAACATTCCACCTGTTCCCTCGTTGCTTGCAGGAAGCTGATGATCAAGGACCTGATGGCAACGATGTCAACACATCCATGCCAGGGAACAACCTGCCCCCAGCTAGCATGTCCATGATGGGTAGGTCCAATTCAACTCAACAGATACAAATATTCAGTTTTACAAACTTGCTAAGCATAAGAAAGGTTACACTTGGCTATATGAGCTTACCAAAATCCAAATTACTTCTTGTAAGTAATGTGTGCTCTCAGCACTGGCTGATCTTCAGAACCAACCAGCCAACCCAATAACCCTGATGGTTGAAAGGTAAAGACATCTGCACTAGGAAGAAGGAGGTCGTGGGTTCGAATCCCACTCCAGGTCCTTAGACAACTTGTAATGTCCGTTACAAGATGTACTTCAATAATGGGTTTTGCCCTTACACCAACATGTATATTATAACACTGTATACTCGGTGTTTGTCTCAGAGCTTGCAAATACATTCATAAGCTGACTTGGGTGGGACTCGAACCCACGACCTCCAGTACAGATCCAGCATGCTGAAGTGAGCGTGAGTAAATTTTGAACCTTGCTTTAGACCGGTCTAGACAGTTTTTATCTACGTTTTATTCTCAGGAGCAGGAGGTATGCCTGGGATAATTCCTGGAGCACCAGGGTCGGTATCCTCAGGGCCTGGTATGCCACCAGGTAGGTACTCATAGAATCCCCCACATGATCCTCAACCTTCCCACATCCTTCAAAATCCATCAGGAGGTTCTGGAGGATTTTGTAGGATTGAGGAAGGTTGAGCTTAGCCACTACAAATTTATACAGGACTTACTCCATGTAGGTTTGTAACAAAAGAGTGTCCCGCAGGATTCTTACTCAATGGAGCATTTTGGACGATTCCGGGATTTTTCTAGAAAAAAAATTGCCAAGAATGTCAGTTCAATGACCTCCAAGCGACTCTAACACACAAGACTTCTCAGTATGCTCTCTCAGAATGGCTTGAGCATGTCATCAGGTATCCAATAATTCAAATAGTATTTGATTTCAGTACAGTATTGCAGAATGAAGTACATTTACTGTGGATTCAGGTGAAGTTTGAGGCTAACACCCGTCGTGAGTTACCTCTGAAGAATGTCAGTCTTTTCAAGTTTACATCCCCTAACACCTGTTACACCTGTCTGATTTGTTGGAAGATGCCATTCTGGTCATGATTGGTTTTTTTATCAAATCTTATAAACCTTTGATTGTTATTATGTTGTTGCAGTTCCCATTGATCCGGCTGCCATGGCAACCATGTTCCCCAACTTTGATCCCTCTGTGCCCCCGCCAGGCTTTGGAAGCATACCCAGGGTGCCCTTCCAACCGGGTAGGTGACGATCAAACTCTGTGACTGGTGTTTCTGGCAAAGAAACAAGCTGTCGTCAAATGGATTTTCAGTTGTGACAGATTGTTATAAATCACACATATCACTGATTTGCTTGGAGTGAATGCAGTGTTCGTTATCTTCTGCATGTCATGCAGTTGCGTTAGGGTTTGACACTTATGAAGTAAAAACACCCCTGAGATAGCATGCTTGTCAAGTCCCCAAGTAAGATTGTTGATAAAATGTATCACTTTGGTCTTTCTTGCAGGTTTGCCGCCTCCAAATTTCCCCCCTCCTCAGCCAGGCATGCCGCCCCCGATGCCCATGCTCCATCCGCCTAACCATCCCCGGGGGCCTATACCCCCGATGCCGGACTTCTCCAAGCCTCCGCCCGGCTTCAACGAGTTCCCTCAAGATTTTCCGCCAGACTTCAACCCCAATGTGCTCCCGCCGGACATGGAGATCATGCCGCTGGATCCTAACGACCCATCCCTCATGCCCGAGGTTCCCTACTTCGACCTTCCAGCTGGTCTCATGGCTCCGCTCGTCAAGGTATGGCAATCTTTTCCCTTGTTTTGGACACCTATCAACATTGACAGAAATCACAGGGAGAAAAGATTTATTCAAACATATCCTGAACCAGTCTGAAATTAAAGCCTTCTATTTTCAATTTAAAGTGGTATTTTGGGATCTCATGAGGTACGTACTCCAATTGGGTCTCTCTGAGAAAAAAAATTCTGAAGTACTGAGACTAAGCAATAGGGTGTAAAAAATTTCAAAAAGTTTCATTTTGTAAGTTCTGAATAGGCTAAACTGACTTTCTGGCACTAGTTAAGAACTGCTGTTTTGAAAGAGGAGTTATTCATAAACTTTGCTCATGCAAGCGATGTTTTCATTTTTGTTGGCAATCACAGCTTGAAGACACCGAGTACGAACCGTTGGACCCTGAAGACATCCGATTACCTCCTCCACAGCCCCCCAGCAAGAGACTGTTGGCAGCTGTCGAGGCCTTCTATGCACCTCCGTCAAGAGAAGCACCAAGAAACAGGTACACAAAAGTTCCGTTTCAAGACCCCCCTCCCTTAATGCCCTGAAGTGTGACGAGATCAGTGGATCAGTGTACATCAAGACCCCGTAATGGTGGAAGTTAAACCGCAGAGGTCCCATTAGTGTGTTTACATTTGCTGAACTGGCAATGAATTATAATTCAACAGTTTACACAGACCAGTAAATTAATTGTAGATGGTGGCTACCATTGACTGTCGGCAGGCTGTATAGCGCCCTCAGCAGTTGTGCATGGTGCAAATACATGACCGGAATGCTATGTTGCAAAACAATACTTTAAATTTGAATCAGAATGGTGACTGTACACGTCATAACTTGTTTGGGGTTGAGGTTTCATTGTGAAAAGTTCTACAAAGGTTATTGACGTTAAACTGTAACGGATAATGTTTGGATCGTTCCAGCGAGGGTTGGGAGCAAAATGGGCTGTTTGAGTTCTTCAAGGCCAAGCAGAAATATTCCAAACTGAAGAAGGAGAGGTTGGAACATGAGGGGGTACAGAGGAAAGTCCACATTCCCTCACCGATCCGTCGTGACAGCTCATCGTCCCGATCACCATCCCCGCGTCTGGAGGAAGACGCACAGAGGTCCAGGAGAAGATACAGGTAGACACAAGGCTTGTTTCACGCTGATTTTGATCTCCGTCAGTGATCCCAACGTCGGTTCCCTGCATTTGTGAGGCCGGTTCTGGTGCCAGTGAATCAATGACAGACTTACTGATCAAGATTCAGAGATTCAAGCCCTGCTAAAATCACAGATGCCGCAGCCATCTTGGTCTCATGCCCGTATATCAACGTTGTTTTTAATTATCTTTGAGTTGGTGATCACACCCAGCACCAGACTAGATTGCTTCAGTCCTCCTTGTGCATTCCTGACATAAGGAGTGATATAGACGAATCCAGTGACATGTTACTGGGCATTCCTGATGGCCCCCTTTAATGGCAGAAAGCACTTTGTCAGTCTTTGTATAGAGCGACTGCCATGAAACAGTGGCTCCATACAATAGCTATCACAGTGCTTACCACCATTGCTGGGGGCCACTGCAGCTTACTAGTGATAGTGTCACAGCTGCCACCAGATTTGCTATTGTAACGGCATATTTAAAACCTTGAATCTTCTTCTTCACCGCAGGTCCAAGTCCAGATCACGTTCCCGTTCCAAGTCACCGGTTCGCCGCCGTCGGTCAGTCTCTCCGTCCCGCTCACGGTCCAGGTCACCCCCTTACAGGAGGCGGAGCAACTCTAGATCCCCGCCCCCGCGCAGGAGGAACCGGTCGAGATCCAGGTCACGTTCTCGCACACCCCCACGGAGGCGGAGAGAACGATCCCGGAGTCCGTCACCAGACTTTGGAATGCAAGTCTATGAAGTTCTCTTATTATAACACAAATGAAACGAAGCAGTTTGATAGAACTAATTCTCTAAACCATTTTCTTGTTTGATATTTTTCTCTACAGACAACCATTTTACCAGACCAACACCAACACCAGGCTAGGTGAAGAAAACAAGGGAGCTTTGCTCATGAAGAAAATGGGTAAATATCTAAACTTTAAACCTTGCTTTCTCAAAATTGTTCTCTACTACACAGAGTGACACCAGAATTGGTCACCACTTTGATAAATTGTAGTGTTGGGATTCTCTGTGGCTGTCATTACAACACAGTGCAGTCACTACCGTACGGCATGACGCTTCTACAATACCCCAGAATGCCTAAAACATGCGACTCCCAAGCCTAAAGAAATTTTTAAGAGAATAAAAACTTGATAGGTTTATGTTCTGATGACGTCATGCTTTGTTCATATGTGCCCCTTCCTGTGGAGCCAATGGGGGGCGGGGCCTCGGACCACCAATCACCTTAGGAAAGCACACATGGTAGCAATCAGTGCCGAGGTGTATTGCAGAGTTCAGCAAAGAATATTTTGCAGAGAACTCACTGCATTTCTTCAATGTTTTGCTCGGATGTTTAGGTTGGGGTGGGCAGGGTCTTGGAGCGAGGGAGCAAGGCATCGTCGACCCCGTCTCGGGAGGTGAGGTCCGAGACAAGATAGACATGTACCGCGGCGTCGGCATGGAGATCAATGATCCCTTTGAGAGCTTCCGTAAGAACAAGAGCAGCAGCTTCATGACCAGGATGAAAGCCAGAGGTGAGAAAGGGGGTGGAGCCTAAAAAAGAACAGGGGAGTGGTTGAGACGACCGGGTTCTGGTCCAGTTTCCTACAGATCTGGACCTCTTCTTGGGATTTGCTTGGATGTTGTTAAGGAAACACTTCCAGGTGACAAGGTGACGGCCAATATTTTTCCTTTTTGTGGGTTAGGAGCAGTGAATTAAGCATAATAGGCCAAATCAACTGTTTTCTCTTTCATATTTAACATATTTTTGAGTTATCCAGCAAAAGTTAACATCTTCAGTTTACAAACAAATGTAAAAAGTATACTTGTTGTAGCCATGATATGGCTGATTTTTGGTAAGCTCTATGTCACAAGATCTGTTTCTACTTTTCATTTCTTGCAGCTGCAAAATCAGGGAAATGAGCACTTATCAAGATCAGGAGCCTGGCAGTTGTCAGTAAAAATTCTTCAGCCAAAAAAAGTGAGGGTGGAAACGTTTTCTCTAATTCACAACAAAGAACACTTTTTTCTCAAGTTTTCTTTTGTTTTATTAAGATTAATTTCTATCAGTTGCCAATGATGGGCTATTTTACAATTATGTACATAAGTCTGTTCGTTATTAAACAGTAGGGAAGTTTAACTGCAAAAACAGACTCGTGGGATGTCCATCAAGCCAAGGCAGGTCAAGGATAGGACCGTTGCTGATGCAAGTGTTTCTATTACTTGACTTGGCACCAAATCATTTTTTTAAAAGGGCTGGAATGCACAGAAGCATATTTGGAACTTGTTTGAGTCAATAACACAAACAGTTCAAATGGAAATAGAGATTTCGCACTTTGAAAAAAATAC